TTCAGCTTCTTCCTCCATGACTTTACTCTCTCTCTCAGCTGCTCACAGCTCGTTCTCTCTACTCCTCACAGCATTCCCGCTCCTTCTACTCCACAAGTGTTTGTCACTACAAACTCTTCCTTACTCCCTGATAATTAGAAAGGAGATGTATTTACTTCCCACCTCTCACAGTATTTACCAGTTTCTCTCATCCCCTGCTTCCCTTGTGTCTCTCTCATCCTACACAGCCTCTTGACTACACCAATGTCCTCTATTTCAGATGTATTTTGTTGTCCTTCAACCACTCCTATTGGCTTTCATGCCTCTTATTTCAGCCCCCTGTGTGCCACTGCTTTCCCTACCAGTAAAATCATAACTAGTGGCACAAAATAAAGAATTGTCAAAATGCAACATGGCTTTCTTCTCTCGACTCTCCTGGTTTAGTTACAGGAAGCAAAGTTTCTCACCTGCTGCCACACCTCTTCTGTGATCCCTCTGGCTGCCTCCACGACCCCAGTCTCACCACTACCCAGAAAAATCTGTGCCCCCATTTTCACTGTATGTGCCTCAGTTTCCTTGATTTGTTGTCTGAGTCGGAAAAGCAGATCAAGGGATTAAAGCCAGACACCCAACACCAACTACTTGACTCCAATCTTTGCTCTGTTCAGGAAGGCTTTTCAACTGTGATATGTAAACTACAGCATCTTTTTTCTCAGGAGGCCTTCAACAGGGAACAAGGAACTTGAAGATGGATCAAAATATGAAGAGTCCTAGAAGGTAGAAGTGGCCTGGGGTGAAAGTAGGAGGCTAAATCACACCTGTCTTCTACTTCATAACTCAGAAAGCAGAAAGAAGCAAAGGCAGTGAGGTTTGTTGGTGCTACATTATTGAGGGAGGTCAACACAAAAAGGGGAGCAATAAAATTCAGACATGCTACAGCAGGGAGATGAAGCAATTCACATAGAGAAATGCAAAGGTTCTGTTTTGAAGAAGGTTGGGTTTAAGCTATTCTTAAATCATTTTCCCTGAATTAGGGAAACTTGAACCTCCCAAAGCTCCATCCTCCTGAGAATGTGCTGCCAGTGAGAACAGAATCTGAGGTTTATTCAAAAGCACTTCTGCAAGTGCTTTTGAGTCCTTATGAGGGAAGATTGAAGATCTCCTGTACCTAGTTTACAGAAACCTAGTCAGTCAGACTTTAGCTTAAAGCCATGATGTGGAAACATGAGGAAGCTAAGAAATTTTTAAAGATCCTTATTAATGATAATATCAATTCAGCTGGTGAGAAACTGAGGAACTGACCTGTACCTGTCAATAATCCATCCTCTTTCAGACATGGCTACAAGAGATCTACCTGTCATTAACCTAATATTACATTTAAGCTTTAAATCAGGCACAGGTGGCAGGTCTCTCTGGAGAAAGTGGAAAGCATTCCTCCCTTCCTTCTGTTCCTAGATGAAATGATTTGTCATACAGGAGTGGAGACATGCAGTCCCTACATCTCTACAACCTTTTTATTTTCATCTGGCATTTCGAATTTGGCTTTTTTTTTTTTCTCAAGAAAATGAGCTCAGAAACCCAGAGATTACCCGAAACAACAAAAACAAGAGGCTTTGATTTGGTCCATCAGAACAATCAGAGTTCTTTCTCAGTGTGACTCTACATGGTAGAAGGACTCAATCCTCAGCCAGTTTGGGAAGAAAGGAAGAGAAAAAGTGCAGAAAGTAAGGGAGGAGTGTAAGTATGGAGGGCAGTGAGCAGCCAGGTTTGGTAATTGAACTGAAAAATCAGTGGTAAGGGAAGTATTACCAACAGCCTAGAAAAAAAAAAAGATGATCCATCCAAAAAAGATGAAGAATATAGTATACTGGGAAAGGACACTGGTCAGAGCAGGCTTTGGTTTTGTTAGTTATGAACAGGAAACTCATAACCAAAGGTAGCTTGGAAGGAAAGAAGCACATGGATCAAAGAAGAGGAAATACCATATTGTATTCACCAAGTCTTTGCCTACTGTTGAACAGCAGCAGGAGAGCAGAGATTTCTGTGCTGGAGTAATAAATCTAAAGAAGTGATTTAAGAGCAGTGTAAGAATCTAGAGCGAAGTGAAGCAACCTTAAGCGATTGTGGGCAGCTCTCAGCATCCTTGCATAAAAAGAACAATATAAAACACACTCCAACAGAAATAATGGGGACGATAGAGGGAGCCAAATTAATTTAAAAAAAAAGTTAGGCAAAATTGGTACCATAGCTCCTCTGACAAAAAGAGAGGTTAGGAGTCTTCATTAAAGTCCACAAAATTCTTAGTGGGATAGAGAGTGGGAATACTACAAAGCTATTTGACCTGGTGTCAAGAACAAGCAAAGATGCATCAGTAAGATAAGCCACAGCTGGACATTACAGGAATTCAGGGAGGAATGTCAGCATAGAGCAAGACAGAAATGCAACATAAACTCCCCTTACATGGCCAGGGGACAAAAAGTTTGCTCCATGGAAAAACTGGGCATTAGGTAATACTGTAAAGTTCTGTAACTGCCCCAAAAGAAGCTGTGTCTGAGGACTTGTCACCCTGAGATTTCTCAGGCAGAACTGTTGGTGTTTTATAGTGATCCTGTATGTTGACAAAGTGCTGTGAGTTAGCCTGCCCTCTCCTCTCGGCAGTCACCCTGCTGGAGCTGGTTCAATCCAGTGCCACAAGACACAATACACAAGAGATCAGATACTGCCTTGCTCAAGATCAAGTCTTGCAGTCATTGTGCCTTGAAACACAGGGTTTTGGTATAACATATTGGTCTTCTGCAAGCAATAATTTAACTAAGTCAAAAGGTTTTGGGGAAAACAGAAGCGAAGACTATGCTTAGAAAAATAGTGAACATTTTAGCAAAAACCTTGGTGGGGAAGGCCTAGGAAATCCGTGCTGTGTGTGTGAAATCTACAGCAAAGGAAAGCAAAGTCTGTGTGTGAAGAATGATACAGGGGGCCCGATGCTACCTCCTATATCTTATCCTTTTTGCTACTCCATTTCTCAAGCGACCCTCACAGCCCTCTGTAGAGCACAGCAGTTGCCATACCAGATCAGCCCACTGGCCCTCCTAATCCAGCCTTCTCACTTCAACAGTTGCTACTCTCTGGTACTTCAAAGAAAGGTGCAAGAAACCCCGTAGTGGACAATTATAGAATAACCTGCCCACAAGGGAAGTTTCTCCCTAATCCCCCACCATCAGTTCATGTTTATGTTGTGCCTTGAAGCCTGACAGTTTATATCCCTTCTAAAATTTATTTATATCCTGTCTAATGTGACCATGAATGTTCTTGGTATCCATATAAATGTCTAATCCTTTTCTGAATCCTGCTAATCTCCTGGCCTCAATGAAACCTCATGGTAACAAATGCCATGTGTTAATTACACACGGTACAAACATTTCCTTGCACCATTTTAAATTTGCTTCCTTCCAATTTCACCGGGTATCCCTTGATCCCGCAAAATTAAAAAGGGCAATGAAATTAGAGCTTGCTCATTCTTACCGAGCCACACTGCTGTCTCTTGACTTGTTTCTTCTCTAAACTAGCTGTTCCTGCCCTCAGCCAGTTTTCCCTGGTCGGGCTGTTAGGCTGTGGCCGATGGCACAGCGCAACAAGACGGCTGCACATTCACAAAAGCAGCAGCCCTGCGCCCTTGGCTGGCTGGAGATGGCACTGGAAACGGCGTGGAAGTGTAAGGTGTGAAGGGGAGAGGCTAAAAATGAGAATGTTAACTAAATGAATGAAAGGGAAGTGCTAAAAAAAGTCTGAATGGTATAAAAATTATGAGGGAGGGAGGGAGGTCCTAAACTGTGTTCAAACACCAGTTTTACAGTGGTTTCACTAGAGGTAGGACCCTAAGCTGAGGCAGCTGTGTACAATGATCCTTTTTATCTGTTTTGAACTGGACTGTGGCAGCAGACTGTGAGACTGTGAGGTGACACAGCGAGAGGCTGCAAAGTCAGCGCGGCTCGGTGTGTTCGCTGAAGCTCCGTGAGGGACGTACCACACGAAGGTAATTAATATGTATCTGCTGCTGAATACGTTTCCATAATACAGTTCAAAACAGGGCAGCGCAGCTCCCTCCAGTTCGGGGCCAGGACAAGCGGCGGCCCTGGGCGCAGGGCTGAGGCACCGAAGCGCCTCAGGGCGGGGGCGCGTGTCCGGCACCCGCGTGGCGGCCGCGTGCGGAGCGCGAGAAGCGCCGCCTGGGCGGCAGAAGAACGTGAGAGCAGAAACCCCGCTTTGCTGCAGCAGGACCCAGTCCCAGCAGCTCCGCGGCATTCCTGGCGACCGGCCAAGGGATCGGGATCGGGACCGGGACCAGAAACCGAAGAGCCGCCGCGCGCGGTACCACAGCGGCCGACAGCCCCGCCTACCCCGTGCTGGCCCCGCCCCCAGTGGGCGTGGTCGGCCGGGAGCCGGGGGCCTGTTGTTGTGGTGAACTCGGGGCCCCGCCCCCTCCTCGTGCAGGGCCGCGCACCGCCCCGCGCGCACCGCCCTCGCGCCTTTTGTCCCCTCCCCGCGCCCCGCCCCGCAGGGCCCGCCGCGCCCCGCCCACCGGCCCAGCCCGTCTCCCCATTGGCCCTTCCGCCCACAGCCACGCCCATCCCGCGCGCGGGATCCCGCCCCTCCCCTCGCGCCCCCCGGCCCCCCCGCGCCCATCTGTTCCCGGCGGCTCCTCCGCGGGGCGCGGGGAGCATGAGGAGCAGCGGGATGATGATGATGGGCCCGCGCGGCCGTGGCGGCTGCCCGCGATAGGGGAGGGCAGCGGCAGCGGCGGCAGCGGCGGCAGCAGCAGCAGCGCCCCCGCCGGCCCTGAGCCGCCCCGTGCGCGGGCGGCAGCGAGGGGGCAGCGCGGGGCCGCCGGGGGGCGGCCGCTGAGCGGCGTGTGGCGCCGGGGGGCGGGCGGAGCCGCAGCGCCGAGCGGCGGCACCAGCACACGCAGCCGCCCGCGGAGTGAGGGGAGGCAGCGACCGAGCGGGCTGGACGGCGGCCGCGGGAGATGTGCCCGGAGGAGGACGGCGGCTGTGGCGGCGGCGGCGGCGGCGGCGGCACCTTAGCCGGCACCGGCGGCCCCGAGGCGGCGGCGGTGGCGCTGGACGAGCTCCGCTCCTGGTGGGAAGTCCCGGCCATCGCGCACTTTTGCTCGCTCTTCCGCACCGCCTTCCGCCTGCCCGACTTCGAGATCGAGGTGAGAGCCCCCCGCGGGCGCCGCTCCCCGTCCCGCCGTGTCCGCGCCCCCGCCGCCCGGCGGGTCCCGCACGCCGCTCCCCGGTCCCGGCCGTGGGGCGGGGGAGCGCTCCCGTGGCCCCGGCGAGCCGCTGGGTCCCGGCGCGGTGCAGCGCGGGGGTCTCCGCTCCGCTCACGGTGGACCCGGCAACTTCCCCGTCGCTCCCGGGAGCGCCCGCAAACTTTCGACGCGGCCGTCCCGGGGCAGGAGCCCTCCGGGTCCGGGGGCTGCGGGGCGCACGGCGGGGGCGGCCGCGGGCGGAGCGGGGCCGGGCCGCATTGTTCGGCCGGGCCGGTGTCCGCACACAAAGGTGGCGGGGGGACGGAGCCGGCCACGGGTCCCCCGTGCCCAAAATGGTGGCGGCGAGGGGCGGGCCCGGCCCGGTGACCCCCCACCTCTCCCGGGGGTACCGGCGGCTGTTGTTGGGGGGATTCCCCAGCTCCGCTCCGCCCGTGCACGAGTCGGCCCCTTTTGTTGGAGGGAAGGGGGGGGTGTCGCTCCCCACCTGGCCGGTGCCGGCGCGGGGTGGGGGGCGCGGAGGGTCGCGCCGAGCCTTTCTCCCGCATCCCGGCGAGGCCGGAGGGCTCCGCGGGGCTCCGCTCATTGTGCGGCTCCGCGGAGCCTCCGGGGAAGCGGCGGTGCCTTCACCACCGCCCCTGTCCCCCACGGAGGGAACGCGCTCGGCTTTCGTACCCTTCTCACCCGTTTTCCTCTGTAACTTTCCTGTGTGGGTCGGGGGTTTTTTTTATTATTTGTTTATTTTATTTTGATTCTTATTTTCGTATGCGCGCAGTTAGCGTCCCGTAAATATTTTGTGCGCTGGCCACAAATGTTACAAGCAAAGTGTGTCCTGGTAGGAAATCTTTTGTGCTTGCTGTGAAAAGCTATTCTTGCCAGCGCGTTGGCAATAAACCGGGTGAATAACGTGGTGGCGTGTGTTTTTTAAAGACAGTAATTGCCCCGTGAATGCAAATTCCAAAGATGCTTAAAAGTTCTATGGGATGCGCGAAGCACTAAAGAGCAAAACTCCTCGAGCAGGATGTGAATTTCTGAAGAGGGGGAATCCCTTATGCGGTACGAAATCTTGAAAGGGGATAAGGTCTCTCAATGATGCAACTTCTTGCGAAAGGGAACTCCCCTCCCCCTCCTATTGATGCCAAACCATTAAAAGGGGAGGCTCTCCGGGCCCAGCGCGCAAAGTCTTGAAGGAACCTGAATTTACAATGATAAAAGGGCCAAGGCACTAGCCTTTCACCTTTGGAGGCAATTAGCATCTGGCTTGCTTCACAAATGAAGTAAATGTGGGCTCCCCTTTGGTTCCCGGAGCACGCTTAGGCTGGGGGAGTTAACATCATCACTCGGAACAAATTAACTTGCTTTTTTTGGGGGGATGCCCGGGAGGAGGAGGAGGAGGAGGAGGAGTGCGAGCGGGTTGGTGCTGGGGGTGTTGCAGAGCAGAAGCAGCACACCGAAAACGTCGCCAAAAAACTCCTTGCGCGTGGATGGCCTGCAGCGCTTGGCAGAAACGGGTTTTAAAGAATGGCGTTTGTCCGAGGGACGGTGGAAATTGCGGTTAAAATCGGGATGCTGCGAGAGGACGGATGCGGCTGTCAGAACTCTGCATCTTCAGGCACGTGGAGTAAATCCCCTTCCCCGGCACAGTGTGAGCAGCCAGCACAAGCAGTTTCAAAAGTTGCTGTTCCTTGAAGCTCACCATCTTGTTACGTCTTGCCTGGTGTAGTTGTTCCAGTCTCATCACTGGTTTCAGGGCTATCTGGGAACGGATTTGCACAAAGAGCTTGCTCAGACAGTTCACAGTGTGAAGCCAGTGGCCAACGGTGGAACTTAGACTTTTTTCTAAGAGTGCTGCTCTGATATTTTTATTTGGCTGCATAAAGAAGGCTTCTCCCACGGTTTTGGACTTAATATTCCAGTGCCCCTTCTGGCTGTCTCACTGTTCCATCTGAGGTGTGCTTTGAGTTTCAGGGGTGTCTGAATAAAATGAAGGTGGCTGTTTTTCTAGGGGCTTGGGGAGACTCGAGGCACATATTCAGGGGAAATAAAACACTAGCCAGCCATCAGAAATTGAAACTGCGCTCATCTGCAAATGATATTTTCTTGCTGTAGCTTTGGTTATTGTGGGGAGGTGTGCTTGTGGCTGAACACCAGCAGTTTGAGTAAGTGAGTGCCTCTTCCCTCAAAAGTTACTGCCCCTCGTGGGTAACCCAGGAGTGACTGCCTCAGTCCATTGGGATGCAGAATAAATCAGGTGCTCTGAGTGAATCTGTGTACGTGGAAGGAGAAATGGAGATCTTGGGCTCAGAGGGTTTCAGCTGGAGGATGGTTATGCTCAAAGTCCTCAAGCTTCACAGCTGAAGTTTGGCCAACTCTGCCCAGTATCTCTGAGGGATGGCCTCACTCTGGATGCAGCTGGCTCTTCTTGGAGGACATTCTCTTCTTCCTAGGAGGTCTCAGCTCCTCTGAACTTAAATCCTGGTTGGTGGCTTTTTTTTCCATTTTTCTGATACCGGTGCATCTCCAGTGGGGAGTTTGGTGCTAAATTCTTACAACATCATTATAAAAAGCAAAAGTTTTAAACAAGCCTTAATTCTGATTAAAACAAATATCCTCTGATCTCACCCTCCCTCTGATTTCAGCAGGCAGGTGAGGTTAAGGTTACCCTGCTACAGTCTCTGCAGTCCCCAAACCAGAAAGAAACTGATCTTCCGATATGTTTGTGTTCTAATATGGTGTTCCGTTGTTTTGGGTTGGTTTGTTTGTTTTTTAAAGGTGTAGCTATTTTTTTTCTCCTTTCCCCACCCCCCTCTTTTCTTTTCTTCTGGTGGGTCTGTCCATAGCTAGCTGGAAGGCTCTGTAATGATAGGCCATCTGGACCCATCCCTCCCATGCTGAGCAGATTTGCTGATGGTATTTGAGAAGTTTGAGGTCTTTGGTAGTACAGGGAGGCAGCATGGAGCTCTTTTTCTTTTTTCCCCCCTCCCTTTCCAAATTCAAACCCTTCACCCTCTACTTATTGGCGCAGAAGAAAGTGAAGCTTCCAGATGCAGGGCTGCCGTCCACAGCTGGATGGCAGAAACCTGGGAAGCAGATGTTTTGTTTTTTCTTTTTGCTGGACCAGTGCGTAGCCACAGACTACAGGGAAGGGGTGTCCAAAAAGAAAGCAGCGCATCCATCAGGCCGGACCCTGGGCATTGTTCGGGAGGGGGTGGGCACAGCTGGCCCTCATGCTGGCTCTGGCAGATGCAGGCAGGCGCAGGGCTCCTCTTTTCAAATTTCTGCTGCAGCATCACCCGGCGATGGGCTCAGGAGGGGTTCAGCTACCGCCAGCAGGTCAAAAGTTCAGTGGGACAGGAGCGGGTGCTTCGGGACGTGTTCGGCTTCATGCCGTGTTTTTACATGGATGTGAGGATGCCAGAGAGCACTTCTGCCTTCTGGGGTGAGATTTTTTTTTTTTCCCCTCCTCCCCTTTTAAATGGCTGCCTTGTCAGCCATCTGCCGTACAGAACTTTCATGCCACTTCAGAAGTGGGGTTTTAGTTGTGTTGGCTTGGTTGCTGCGGTGCATTTCTTGGTGGTTTGTAAAATCACATAATAACAAAATGGGTAAGGTTGCAAGGGACCACAGCAGGTCATCTGATCCAACCTCCCTGCATCAAAAAAATTCTGTATCAAATGCATTTGTCCTTATCTGCTCTAACAGCACTCCAGTGGGAGAAGGTGAGGCTGTGTGGGTTATGTCATTTTTTTTCAGTAGTCATTGCCTTGATGGACAGAAAGGACGCTTTCCACAGTCAAGTTAGTGCAGGCGATGATAGGGAATGATTTGTTTCCCTCTTCAAGACCGGACTCTAATATGGGACACCTCTCTTGACAAAGTGTCTCCTGGCCACGTGCCCTCCCCTCTGCAACTGAAATATCCTCCCGACAGCTGTAGGGATTGTTTGTATCAAAAATATTAGGAGAATATTTAACGTTTTCAACTGTATTTCAGCACAACTTGAAAACACTGGACAGGAGCCAGTGTGGTGTGGCCACCCAGCTCTTTGGCATGTGCTCTCGGGAACTGTGGACTCAAACATTTAGCAACTTCTGTCTGGGTAGGTCGAGGGGAGGTGACTTTCCTGAACGTGCTTGAAAATAGTCAAAACATTGTTGTTAACTTAGTTTATTTGGAAAAGGGGGAAAAGCCACATTACACAGGGAAAACATAAATCTTTTCCTGTGGTTTTTAAAAGCGCCTTTGGGCAAATTGCCTCTGCTGTTAACTTCACTATGGCTTTAAGATGCTTTTCCTTGCCTCTTGCCCCTTCCTGGCACTTTGGGCTCTGGCTCTGCATTTAGGTACATTCCTCCCACCCACAGGCAGGGCACTGCTGCTCTTGCCCACCTTTTTCCTCCTGTAGTGTGGTATCTGCCATGTCGGTTCTTGAACAGGCTCTTTCTGTCAGGAATATTATGTGGCTGTTAGAAACTGCTCCCTCGGGTCCCCCAGGAGGAGGAAGAGTTCGGAGAGAGAGAGAGAGAGAGCCAGGAGGAGGAAGAGTTCGGAGAGAGAGAGAGAGAGAGGTGGAGAAGGAGAGAGCAAAGAACAGGGTTGCTTCTATCTGTGCAAACCAGATGCAGCTTTAAAAGAAAAAGAAATCGGTGTGTTAAACAAGAGTGTTAGAATTTTAATACTTTGAAAAAATGTTTCCTAGTGAGGACAGGATGGCCAAATATGCTTTGACCTCCACTGTCCCGTCATGTTAGGTCCTGCCGAAAATTCTTAGTGGATCCCCTTGCTCTGCCCTTCGGGTGTGCCCCATGTGATCCGTGACACCAAAATGGCACAACCTTCCTGTTCTGTCAGTGGTTTGTATGGGGTTAATTGCACAGACAGTGTGGTACAGTACCCATGTGTAATGTCTATTGGTGCCTCATCCTGTTCTGTGATAGTTGAGA